CTGGGTTACAAATGCATTCTGACAAAAGACCTTCCACTAAATCCATAACACCCCTCAAATTGTTCCTGGCCTGACCCCTTGTTTCAGTGGGCAACCAAACACTGAAATGAAGTTGCCTCCAGAGAGAAATACCAGGCCAGGCACAGTAGCTCATGTCTATAATCCTAGCACTTTGGGATGCCAAGGTGAGAGGATGGCCTGAGCCCACAGGTTCGAGACCAGTCTGGGGACCTCATCTCTACAATAAATCAAAAAGTTATCAGGGTGTGGTGTCATGGGCCTGTAGTTCCAGCTACTTGGAAGGCTGAGGCGGAAGGATCGCCTGAGCCCAGCACACTCATGGCCACTCGTGTCAACCCACTGGGCTCAGGTCGAGGATGCAGCAGCCATGAGCATGCCACTGCACTCCAGCCTGGGTGACAGAGTGAGACTCTGACTCAAAATAAACAAACAAAAACCAGAGAGAAATGCCAGAATTGGTACAGAGAAAACGTAATGGTGTGTTAGTTTCTTAGCAAAGTACCATAAACTGGGTGGCTTAAACAACAGAAATGTATTGTCTTACTTTTCTGGAAGCAAGAAGCCTGAGATCAAGGTGTTGGCAGAGTGGGTTCCTTCTGAGGGCTGGGAGGAAGAATCTGTTCCATGAGTCTCCCCAGCTGATGGTGGTTTGCCGGCAGTCTTTGGCATTCTTTGGCTTCTACTGGGTCATCTTCATGTGTCATTCTCCCTATGTGTCTAAATCTCTCCTTTTTATAAGAATATCTCTCTATTTTTTTAGTTGAAGTCTCACTCAGGCTCAGGCTGGAGTGCAGTGGCGCACTCATGGTCACTCCAGTGTTGACCCGTTGGGCTCAGGTGATCCTTCCACCTCAGCCTTCCAAGTAGCCAGAACTACAGGTGTGCACTACCACGCCCGACTAATTTTTTAATATTTATTGTAGAGATGAGGTCTTGCCAAGTTGCTCAGGCTGGTCTTGAACCCGTGGGCTCAGGCAATACCCTCACCTTGGCCTCCCAAAATGCTGGGTGGCTTGAGCCACCACGCCTGGCCAGAATATCTGTCATTTTGAATTAGGGACCCATCCTACTCCAGGATGATCTCATCTTAACTAATTACATCTTCAGTGACCCTGTTTCCAAATAAGGTCACATTCTGAGGTACCGAGGTTAGGACTTCGATAGATGAACAGGAGGACACAATTTAACCCAAAACTTTAGGGCTCATTTCTTCTCTGTAGCAATTGTCAATAATTATATCTCCTTTTGTCAAAGAGGTAAGAAGTTTGATTCCAAAATGTGACAAACTTCAGGCATAGCTTCTCAGCTTTGGTTTGGCCCTCAAATTTTCATTGCTGCTCTGGTTCAGGAAGGACTAAATCCACTAGTCTCCGAAAGAATCCTGATAAGAACACCCACCTCTTTTAAATGACCGCATGCATTTAGTTCACTATATAACTGATACTGATGCCTAAGTCTACCCCCCACACCCCACAAAATTCAATTTACCTGGGCATCTAATCTTTAAAAACTTCCCAGGTAGGTACTATCTTGATTGAGATGGATATATACATACATCAAAACTTATCAAATTGTACACTTTAAAACATGTATAGCTTATTGTAGATCAAGTATCTCTCAATAAAACTCATTTAAAAAATAAAAAACTTCCCAGGTGATCCTAGTGGGCATCTTGAAATGAGAACTGTTGAAGTAGGTCAACCTCCTTATTTTAAGCAGATAAGGAAACAGCCCAAGAAAGGAAGAAATCTATTCAGGATTCATGTCATGGCTAGCAGCCCTGCCAAGATTTAGAATGTGTGAGTCCCAAACTATTAATCCAGCTGTCTTGCCTTAAAACCAAAATGACAGAGAATTACTAAGCTCCTCCAAAAATTAAAAAGAGGCACTTGAAATACTTGATGTGCTAGAATTGTTACTCAGAGGTGTAGGGCATGGCAGCCAAACAAAATAAAAACACCACTCCATCAGCCTTTAGTTGGTAGAGTCATGATTTAGAACAAGGGTCCCCTAACATCCTCCACCTCACCAACCCCACTATCTCCCATCCCCACCGCAGACTGGTACCGGTCTGTGGCCTGTTAGGAATCAGGCCGCACACAGCAGGAGGTGAGCAGCCGGGTGAGCAGAGCTCTGCCTGCTGTCAGACCAGCAGTGGCATTACATTCTCATAGGCGCGCAAACTACATGTGAACTGCGCATGCGAGGGATCTAGGTTCCTGCGCTCCTTATGAGAATCTAATGCCGGATGACCCACCCACCCCACATCCCCAGCCCCCACCCCATCTGTGGAAAAATTGTCTTCCACAAAACCAGCCCCTGATGCCAAAAGGGTTGGGGGAACCCCTGACTTAGAGGGCGGTTGGTTGTCCCTTCAGTGTACTCCAGGAACACCTCCCATCACTCTGCCTGCTGGACTGTGGAGCTGGGAGAGTCAGTGAGGAAAGCAACACAGCCAGCAACCCGCAGGTTAAGCTGGACTGTTGGCTGGGAATCTCCTTCACTCAAACCTGTTAGTTCCTACTGCCCTCTGAGTATTTCTACTTCAGATTCAACATGTTCAAATACCCCAGTCCCAAGCCATTCCTCTTTTTCAATTGCCTATCATTTTTTTTTTTTTTTGAGTTGGAGTCTCACTCTGTCACCCAGACTGGAGTGCAGTGCCCGCTTCCAGCCACCGCAACCTCGACCTGCTGGGCTCCGGCGATCCTTCCGCCTCAGCCTTCCAAGTAGCTGGAACTACAGGCGTGTGCTACACGCCCGGCTAATTTTGATTTATTGTAGAAATGAGGGTTCGCCAAGTTGCCCAGGCGGGTCTCGAACCCGCGGGCTCAGGCAATCCACTCACCTCAGCCTCCCAAAGGCGCGGGATTACAGGCTGAGCCACCGAGCCCGGCTTCATAGGCTGTTTTTTTGAAGGGTGGATTGCATTTGGGTCTGCTACCAGTCTTTGCTCCCAACATGCCTTTCGGCAAGTAGCCATCTATCCATACCCTTTACTGCTCTGGGCAATTTGGTCATAAACTATATCATTCTTTTCTATTGAAGGGGGAGAAATGTCACAGACAACTCTCATTCTAAAGCAAAGGTGATCAACAAAAGAGGCACAGATGAGTACATCCTTTAAAAGCTGGGTGGGAAAAGTGAACAAGCTAGCTACATCAAAATAAAGATCTCTGGCCTATTCCCATTATAGTATGTCTCTAATTAATCTAACTTGGGAAGCTAGCATTTTAATAAGTTATTTCAGGAACCCTTTCTCAAGGGAGTTATGACCTCAAAACTATCCCTATTGCTTAATTTTGTCCCCCATTTAATTTGTAGAGAACGGGGAACAAAAAATAGACAGGAGTTGACGTGTTTGCTTATCTATTTTCCTAGTTCAAAGGAAATAGAAATTAAGCACTGTCAACAAGGTGACCCAAGGAAACCCCCTGCCTCTTACTTCTTGAGTTGCTCATCATGAAATCCTATATACAAAGACTGAATGATATCTTAAACCTTGAAGGGCTACTTCTTTCAACAAACTATATTCTGAATACTAGAGAACATGTTGCTCTCAACAATATCCTAATGAATACATTAAAAAGCAAACGGTTCGGGGGAGGATCCAAAAAAGAAATTAGGACAACAGACTGGTAAAATTGTCTCTGGCATCTCTTTCCACTAAACAAATAGATAAATACAGAAATTTTACACCTACCTAATTTTCTCTTTAAAAAATTACAGTGCTTTGTATAAAGTTTATCATATTAAGACATTAAGCAACTCTGGCAACAGGACCAACGGACTGATTCTTTTTTAGGTGTTTGGGTCTCAAGAGCCACTTGTTCAGGAACAGCATGCCTGCGTCATGACTCTTGGCCGACAACCGCATTGTCAAGCAACTGTTAGCTGAGGGTAGGGGAAATTAGGGAGCAGTCCCCTAGTGAGTTACTACTATTCCCTGTCCATATTCTATTCCAAACATGGGAAATGTAGATTCCATTATTAAAGCCATGGAATTTGCAGGTAAATTCCATCACCACCTTTGGCTACTAAGGCACCCCAGTTTTTCTTTCTGACCAATGTGTGAAAAATTTCTTTTAAATGTAAGTAATCACAGGTGGTTAATGTTTTTTTTTTTAACTTTTTATTAAGAAACTAAGGCAAAACAGAATTCCAAAAAATTAAAATACAGAATTCCAATTTACGTTCTAAACAAATATAAAAATCAGAGTTTACCATATTTAGGAATAAAGGGGAATGGCTAAAATGCATTCACAGTAATTATTTCTTCCTTACTAGCCTCAGGTTTGCATCCTTTTCCTTCCTGCTTCACTTGGACTAGGACACAGAAAGAATTCCTCATTCATCTTTTGCTACTATAGTCTATAACTTCAGAGCACTGGTCTTCCTACATAGTTCTTTCTCTGTTTCTTCAGCAAATATGTGAGCACTTGTCTATTGGGCTTAGACAATCTGAGCACAAAGACGAGTCTATCAGAGATCCTGTCCTACTTAGGGGAGATAAGACAACAATAAATAATAAATAGATAAAAATAATTTTATGCAATGTATAAAGTAATGTAGCATATGTTAACTATTGATAAAATATAAAACTAGAAAAATTCCAAGGAGAGATTACATCCAGTTAGAAAAACTGAGGAATGTTTTATGAACACAGCACTTGGGATGGGTATGAACCGTTCCTTTCAAAGGTCCCAAAGTGGTCCTGACTATCTACCTAGTCCCAGCTGTGGTGGTCTTGATTTCTGGAAAGTAACCTTTTCAACTCTAAGCCTTAAAAGGCAGAAAATGTCTAATTACTGGGTCATGATTTCAAGTATTTAACTGGGTAAATCCTACTTGCTTTAGGTGCTTTATCAAATCCATACCTCAACTTATGTGAATGAAAGAGATGAAATAAATGGCTTAACATTCAAAAGTCAAATGAAAAAATAAAGGTAACTATGAAATGACATCTATTAACCACAGACTTCCTTGTATGAAAAGATTTAATGAATTATGAGCAATTGACCATTACAGACATTAAGCCTTAATATTTCTTTCCTATGTAAAACCAGGAAATTAAAACAGCCTATCTCAAGTATGACAGAAGACCATAGTATGAGTAAGAGTAATAGTAACATTTGCTTCCACATCTGCATGCTTCATTAAAGAATCAAATAAAGTGCTCCCAGTTTCCCAAGTCAACAAAGCACATTCTTGTTACACATTTTTTCCTGATCAATTTCAGCTGAAAGAGAACTCTACTTTGCCTTTTAACAGCACTTTTCATCCAAAGCACAAGCACTTTTCCATTATTTTCTCCTTTACCCTCAATATCCTTGTGAGGTAGTGAAGGGAGGGAGCAATGACTTTTTTCCCCTATTTTGCAGATGAGAAACTCAAGGTGAATTTTAGACCAACGGTTCTCAACTTTGGCAGCATACTGAAACCATTAGAAAGTTTTTTAAAAATCCTGTGGCGAAGTCATATTCCAGACCAACATCAAAATCTTAGTGTATGGAATTCAAGCATCGATATTTTTAAAAACACTCCAAAGTGACTCTAAAGTACAGCCAAGGTTGAGAACCACTGGTTTCGATGACTTGTACTCAATCTTCAGGTGCAACTGTCTTCTATATAAATGCTCTCTCAGTACCAATAAAAAAAGAAATTCCATTTCCTTGAACATTGTAGCAGTTTGGTTTAATATTCTGTAGTTACTATTGGCCTCTAGTAACAAATTTATGTATCAGCTTACAAATGACAGCTAGTCATTCCCCAGCTGCTCATGGTAACTATGAACTTCCATCTTATGTAATCTGCACGCAAGGTATTAGGGAATTTAAATCCTTGTGATAAGAATGGTTTGTTATTAAATATGTTGGTAATTATTTGATGCTAGATCCAATATGCAATAACAATGTGTTTCTGTTTTCTATTCAGCACCTTCAAAACTCTGTTGCAAATTAACGTTTACTAACAAGACAGAAGAGAAGTTAAAAACAAAACTCAGCAAAACTCTTGGAATTGGTCATATCACAACCTGAAAAAAAAAAAATTACTCAACCTAAAGGACTTTATGACTTTTTAACTAGTTGATCTTCATCCTGAACCCTGAACCTGTTCTCTTCTTTAATTTTAAGCTTTGTCAAATTGAGTTGTTCTACACCAAAAAAAATCAATTTCTATATCATCTATATTCTCCAATACATTTAACATATAATTTCACTCTGTACAAGTTGTTTTCTTCTTGACATGGATATCCAAAAGAATCTTTAACAGATTTCACCTTTCACGTAAAATACCAAATACACAATAAATACCTGTAAACCTTCCAGGTGGCAACAAAAAAAATCTTTGTTCTATGGCTGAAATCCCCTGCTTTGTAGGGGTACTGACAATCTTAATTCTCAAGGAGCAACCCAAGAATCCCAGCCAGTTGCTTGCTGTCCCTAATTTTATTAGATTTAAAACAAAATATACATACAGCAATAACCCAAAAAGAACAAAGATTTCACTTGCCTTCACCAATTCTTATGTATCTAAAACCATACCATTTATACTTTCATACAGAAAGATGATGTTTTTTTCTCTTCTAACAAAAGAAAAACTCAGCTCATGTGCGTTGGATTATTAATTCAAAGGAGTTTTAGTGAAGAGAAACAAGATTTATAAGTCAAAATAGGAGTTAATGTAAAACTCTTCTACAATGAAACCTTCAAAATATTGCCAACCTGAAGTTTTAGCACAAGGTGTTATATTTCAAGTCCCATGGGGGCAATTATCTATAATGAGATTAAGAATATTCTTAACCTGTTTCAGGTGGGTAAGTAAACATTTTCTTTATAGCCCCAATAACAAGTTTGAGGCTTAGATTGTTCATGATGTAAACAATATGAAATTAAAATTTTTTTGGATAATATCTACATTATCAAGTTACAAAATAAAAGAACCATTAATCAATTATTTTTCTTTCTAGAGTCTATGACTAATAGCTTTCATATTTGAGGCCTACAAGAGCAAATGGCAATGTTTTATGTTATGAGACACTTTCTCAGAAGGCCAAAACATTAAACCAGATACCAAAAAATGCACATCACTATTATGTTTAGATCATCCTTACTGATATATGTAAAATTAGAAACAGACTCTCCTTCCTTCAATCTTCAATCAGAAGACTGAAGGATCTTTGCTATAATTTTGATATAAAACAAAACAAAACGAGACTGTAAGTCAAAACGAATACAAAATGAGTCAATACAACACACCTTCTCTTAAAATCCTCTTCTTTGTAGTTACCCAATTGTCCCCAAATGTTATTCCAATTTTGTACCATGTAGTGGTTTTTAAGAAATTGAACTAGAACAAAGCAACCTGTTTGTCCTTTTTTAAAACACACATATTGTATATACAACTTTTAAAATAGCTGCACAATTTTATATCTCATTTTTAGAGAAGTGCAGTCCAGGCAGACCATGCTTCTCAATATATTAAAAATATTAACTAAAACCCAACCAGTTTCATACTTTTCTAATAGTCAAGCTGGCTGGAAAAAAGGGGACTGGAGAAAGAACAGGCAGTTGTAGGATGGGATCAATCTTTCTTCACAAACACACTACTTAAAAATCTTGCTATTTCCTTATCTGTTTTACAGCATCTCTAAATCTCACCTTTAAAGTTGGAAATAACACATTGCTAACTTAGAGACAAAATCTGTTGCAACATGCATATGTCAACTGCCCACTCAACCAGCTGCAACCCTGAGGATTTTTCTGGCCCAGTAGAAAGAGGAAACACCAAGATAATCTCTGCTGTAGAGTTGCTTCTCCAGTTTACAACTTCATGTGTTTTTCAGGATGTTTCTTGGACATGCACATATGACACTGTCACTTCATGGTTCTACTTCCCACAAGAAGATTTCTCCTCCACTCTGTCTTTCATCCTAAGAAAGTCTCTGTCATCCATCCAAAGGTTTTCCAAGGTAAACCAAAGTCACTTCTGTGTTGCCATATACAGCAGAAACTGCTGGATACAAGCAGACCTTTGGAAGTCCTCTAAAGGCAACCCCCAGGAACTCATATCCACGTTCAAAAGCTAAAGTCTTATCTTCCATGTCCAAGATGACTCGAATTCTTTCTCCTATCTGCAAATAGACATCAAAAGGTTAGAAGAAAATCTACTAAGGGCAAAGCTAGAAGAAACAGAAAATAAACTAATAAGTTGTAAATATTAAGACTATGTATCCTAAAAGTTATCTAGAAAAATCAGAAGGGAAGCTTTCTGGTCATGGGGTAACATCTATAAGAAAGGACATACATAAACCAATCTCATCACACATGCTTATTATGATAGTTTTTTTTTTTCGAGTTGGAGTCTCACTCTGTTGCCCAGACTGGAATGCAGTAGCTGCTCCCGGCCACTGCAGCCTCGGCACGCTGGGCTCCGGCGATCCTTCCGCCTCAGCCTTCCAAGTAGCTGGAACTACAGGTGTGTGCTACTACGCCTGGCTAATTTTTTTTTATTTATTTACTGCAGAGATGAGGTTTCGTCAAGTTGCCCAGGCGGGTCTCGAACCTGCGGGCTCAGGCAATCCACTCACCTTGGCCTCCCAAAGTGCTGGGATTACAGGCTGAGCCACCGAGCCCGGCCACGATAGTTTTTTTAAGACCCACAAGGAATCTACATTTTAGAGTTACTACCAGTTTAAATGTTCCCCTTGAACACTCCCCAGATTTTATTTACTTAAAAGACTTTTCTTTAAAAAGTTAACATTAAAATTTATAACTTGGTATATTTACCAAAAAAAAAAAATCTACCTAAATAACCTTCTCAAACTATTATAGTTTACACATACAATGGAATTTTATTCAGCCATAAAAAGAAAAAGATTTTTGATATATGCTATAACATAAATGGACCTTGAAAATATTATGCTAAGAGAAATAAACCAGACACAAAAAGATAAATATTGCAAGATTCCGGCCAGGCTCGATGGCTCAGCCTGTAATCCCAGCACTTTGGGAGGCCGAGGTGAGTGAATTGCTGAGCCTGCAGGTTCAAGACCCGCCCAGGCCACTTGGTGAGACCTCATCTCCACAATAAATAAAAAATTAGCCGGGTGTGGTAGCATGTGCCTGTAGTTCCAGCTATTTGGAAGGCTGAGGCAGAAGGATCACCAGAGCCCAGCAGGTTGAGGCTGCGATAGCTGGGAGAGTGCCACTGCACTCCAGTCGGGGTGACAAAGTGAGACTCCAACTAAAAAAAAAAAAAAAATATTGCAAGATTCCATTTATATGAGGTACCTAGAGTAGTCAAATACATAGAGACAGGAAGTAGACATCACCAGGGGTGGAGAATGAGATAAATGGGAAGTTATCATTTAATGGGCACAGTTTATATTGAGGATGAGGAAAAGGTTTTGAGTATAGATAGTGGTGAAGGTTACACAACACTGTGAATTTATTTGATGCCACTGAATTGTATACTTACAAATGTTAAAATAATATGTTATTCTTACCAAAATTTTTTTTTAAATCACTGTAATAAAACACTTACATAGTCTTTAAAGTTTACAAAGAGTTCCACATACATGTAGAACTTATATAATCATGAATAATCAAATCTAGCTACAGATTCTAAAGAAGCAGAAAAGGCTTATTAAATAGTCAAATTTGTGGTTCACTTCTCTGAAACACCTGCTTGTTATTTAAAAAACAAAAAAGCAATGCTGATTGTTAAATTAAGCTGGAAGCACAATATATCCAGTTCTTTTCCCGTTTAGAAAAGTAAACAAAGAAATAAGGTTGTTTCACTTTTATAGTTTGCATTTATAAAAGGATGTTGCATCTGTGTACCTGGAGGCAGAAAGTCCTAACATTTGCAATACTTCCTGATTATGATAAACTCTGCTACTGTCACTTACTTTCCTTCATTGCATTTCCTGTTACCAATAACTGGCAATATCTGCCTTTTTGTTCCTTTTGCCCAACTCATAGATTAGCCCACACCCCATTTTATGCACCTAAGAACCTCTAAATCATCACCACACCACTCTACCAACAAAATATAAACAACAAAACAGAAATGAAAAGCTAATATTCTGTTGAATATCTGCTTTATGGCTTATTTGCATTATCTCATTTAATCCTCATATCAATCCTAGGAGTTATCCCTATTTTACAGAAGATGACACAAAGTAAGAAATATTCCTGGTGAAACCTGCAAGTCTGCTTTACCTCTGAGCACAGAGCATGCACAAAGCGCAAGTCTTACCAGCTTCAGATGTCAGAGGGTAAAACTTGAAGATGGCAGAGCAACTGGAAACCTAGAGGAGAAACTTCAGAAGCAACAGAGGAAAGGATATGCCCCCAAACCTGAGAAGAAACTCTGCCCAAGCTGGGCATGGAGGCTCACGCCTGGAATCCCAACGCTTTGAGAGGTAGAAGCAAGAGGATTGCCTGAGTCCAGGGGTTTGAGACCAGCCTGAGCAACATGGCAATAAATCAATAAACCAAAAGCTAGCTGGGCATAGTAGTGCACACTTGTAGTTTCAGCTACTTGGAAGGCTGAGGCAGAAGGATCACCTGAGCTCTGCAGATTGAGGCTGTGGTAGCTGTGAGCATGCCACTGCACTCCAACCTGGGTGACAGAGTGAGACTCCAACTCAAAAAAAAAAAGAAACTCTGCCAAAATCCTTGAGTGACCACTATATTACAAAGACATAGGGGAAACCCCCGGGGAATCAGGCTGAAAAAGCAGCAAAGCTGAAAAAAACTGAGCAAAGACATGAACTGCTGCGTACCACAGGGGAAACCAAGTTTACAGTTTGAGTCCAGTCACGTTAACTGCCTACTAAAACAAGTACACCGACACTCCTCAGAAGAATAAAGTAGTTTCTAGAGAAACAAAACATTCAGAGCTCCTACTACATATAATCTACATGTCTAGTTTTCAATTAAAAAATTACTGAATATGAAAAGAAACAGAAAAGTGTGCTTCATACTCAGGGAAAAAAAGCAGTCAAAAGAAACTAACTCCAAGTGGGGCCTATATGTTGGATTTGGCAAAGACCTCAAAGCATCTATTATAAATATGTCCAAAGAATTAAAGAAAAATATAGTATGAGTGAATAAGTACAGAATCTCAATAAAGAAGGGAAAATATAAAAAAGAATCAAATGAAATTTCTAGAGCTGAAGAGTACAATAAACACAATTCACTAGTCCAGCTCAATACCAGAGTTGAGCTGTCAGAAGAAACATCTGTTTACTTGAAGACAGAGCAATTAGAATGATCAAATTTGGGCAACCCCTTCAGGTCCCCTCCCACTGTGGGAGCTTTTCTATCCCCTTAATAAGTCCTGCTTTCTAAAAACAAAAAAAAAAACAAAAAAAAACTATCTAATCCAAAGAATAGAGAGAAAGAAGCCTGGGAAAAATAAAAGAACACAGCTTCAGAGGCAAAGAAACAAGGGCAATATAAAGCAGTCCAACAATTACATTAAATGTAAGTGGACTAAACACTCAAAAGGCAGACACTGTGAGATTGGGTTACATAAAAAAGCAAGACCTTTCGTGGCCCGCCTGGGCAACTTGGTGAGACCTCATCTCTACAATAAAATAAAAAATTAGCTGGGCGTGGTAGCGCGCGCCTGTAGTTCCAGCTACTTGGAAGGTTGAGGCGGAAGGATCGCCGGAGCCCAGCAGGTCGAGGCTGCAGTGGCTGGGAGCGGCCACTGCACTCCAGTCTGGGTGACAGAGTGAGACTCCAACTCAAAAAAAAAAAAAGCAAGACCCAACTATATGCTGTCTAGGAGACCTACTTTAAATACAAAGACAGATTGAAAATATAAGGATACAAAAAAAGGTACTCTGCAATAGTAAGAATAAGAAAACTGGAGTGGCATGTGCCCAGGTGAGGGTGATGGGTACTCATAAAGCCTAGAACAAAAACTATTTGTATCCACCAAAAGCTACTGAAATTTAAAAAAAGAAAGAAAAAAAAAAGCTGGTGTGACTAAATTAATATTGGATAGAACAGACTTAAAGACAAGGAATATAACTAGAGTCAAAGGTCATTTCATAATGATGAAAGAATAAATCAAGCAGGAAGACCTAACAATTAGAAATGTATAGCCACCTAATAACAGAACTCCAAAACACATGAAGCAAAAACAGATGAAACCGAAAGAATAGACAAATTAGCAAGCACAGTTGGAGATTTCAATATTCCCCTCAGTAAATGATAGAACGGGTAGGAAAAAAAAAAGAATCAACACTAATATAGAAGACTTGAATGCTACCAACTAACTTGACCTGTCATTTACAGAATATTCCATCCAACAAAAGACGATACATTCTTTTTAAACACATGGAACACTCATCAAAATAGACCACATGCTGGAAATAAGTCTCAATAAATTTAGGATTGAAACCACATACAGTATGTTCTCTGAAAAACAGAGACGTAAGGGCTTTCACTACAAAATCATCATAAGGGTAGTGACAGGATTTTCTCTTCAGTAATTATTAAGTCCTTACACTCTTCTCCTTATGGTATTTGCAGAGCCTAAAAGGACAGACAGTGAGGAAAGGACTCTATGAAAGAACATCCATCCTTCCAGCTATACCTCAGGAAATGGGATATATTTTTAGTTCTTCTGCTTTAGTATGCCTGACTTGAGGTCATTACTGAGTCCTGAGCTTTCAAGTCACATGTGGCTCTGAAATATGCAATATGTAGTTCTAAGACTTCCAATTTCTTATCAGATTATTGTGTATTACACTCTGCTGAGTCTATGGTAATATGACTCTCACAAATGGGAACTATAATTTTGCTTCAACAATCAAATGAGTATGGCTTAAGGCTAAGATGAAAAGAATAAAAAAATGTAGGAGTTTGTCTGAACCTGCCTGTTTCTATAGAAATCACTGAAGCCTCCAGGGGCTTTGAATCTACAGATTAATAAGTAACAGGGAATGAGTGTGCATGTGCATGCACATATACACACAGGTGCATTTGTTAGGGTTAGGTGCCTAGAAAAGATTTGGATGGTCCATGATATAGGAAAGATGACAATCTACAGCATGAGCTGGCAAATTATAGCCCCTGGACCAAATCTGTCCTGCAGTCCATAAATAAGATCTTATTGGCACACAGCCATGTTCATTCATTTACATATGATCTATGACTGCTTTTCTGCTATAACAAGAGCTGAAAGCTGTGATAGAGACCATATAGACCACTTTACTATCTGACCCTGTTACAGAAAAAGTTTTCCAATCCCTGATCTAGAACAAAGATGGTTTGCTCAAAGTTGAATATGTATTAGGAAACAAATGCTGAAATATATCACTTATAAAACTTATTTAAAAATTACCAAAAGACACAAAAAACTGCTATAAAAAATTTATAAATTTAAAACAAATTAAGCTGTGATTTGACAAAGGCTCACATCTGAGAAAATACCCAGTTTCTCACCTGGTATTTTGGTGCATTGTTGCATTGTGGAAAACTGCCATTGACTTCTCCGTTATGCAGTAGATTATTGTCCACCAGATTCCAGCCCCAGCTCTGGTCGTCACTGCCCAGCAATGCCACATAACCTTGGCACTGCATGGGAGCCCGTTTCGTGGCAATTCCAATTACTGCCACAGTGCCCAGAGGGCCCTCCCACCACACTTCCCAAGCATGGCGGCCCTCACTGAAACCAATCTTGGTCCTTGCACCATCAGTGCTCTGAGCGATAGGGTTTCGATGTAAAGTAAAACCATTCTTCTTAATGTAGACATTCCTGGAGCAGTCATTAGTGCTGAAGGCATGTTGAAATGCACGTACCTGAAAGGATGAGAAACAAACCAAAGAAAAGGAAATATGATTTCTCTTAAATATTAAGAAGTATCCAAACTTCAGGCTATGTGTTTTTTTGTTTTTGTTTTTGTTTTTGAGTTGAAGTCTCACTCTGTTGCCCAGACTGGAGTGCAGTGGCTGCTCCCGGCCACCGCAGCCTCGACCTGCTGGGCTCCGGCGATCCTTCCGCCTCAGCCTTCCAAGTAGCCGGAATTACAGGCATGCGCTACCATGCCCGGCTGATTTTTTGATTTGTTGTAGAGATGAGGTCTCGCTGCCCAGGCGGGTCTCGAACCCGCAGGCTCAGGCAATCCACTCACCTCAGCCTCCCAAAGGCTTGGGATTACAGGCTGAGCCACTGAGCCCGGCTAGGCTATGTGTTTTTTTTGTTGTTGTTTTGTTTTGTTTTTTTGAGTCAGAGTCTCATTCTGTCACCTAGGCTGGAGTGCAGTGGCACGCTCACAGCCACCCCAGCGTTGACCTGCTGGGTTCAGGCAATCCTTCCACCTCAGCCTTCCAAGTAGCCAGAAATACAGGCAGGTGCTACCATGCCCGACTAATTTTTTGATATATTGTAGAGACAAGGTCTCACTAAGTTGCCTAGGCTAGTCTCGAACCCCTGGACTCGGGCAATCCTCTCACCTCAGCCTCCCAAAGTGCTAGGATTTCAGGCTTGAGCCCCTGCGCCTGGACCAGGCTATGTGTTTTTATTTTATTTATTTATTTATTTTTGAGTTGGAGTCTCACTCTGTCACTCAGACTGGAGTGCAGTGGCCGCTCCCAGCCACTGCAGCCTCGACCTGCTGGGCTCCGGCGATCCTTCCGCCTCAGTCTTCCAAGTAGCTGGAACTACAGGTGTGCGCTACCACACCCAGCTAATTTTTTATTTATTGTAGAGATGAGATCTTACCAAGTTGCCCAGGCGGGTTTCAAACCCGTGGGCTCAGGCAATCCACTCACCTCGGCCTCCCAAAGTGCTGGGATTACAGGCTGAGCCACCAAGTCCGGCCGGTTATGTGTTTTTAAATAATGAAGTTATAAATTTTTAAATAACACAATAAGTATTTCCAAATAATGGCTATTTTAGGATGGGACACTAATGCAATGAATTGTAAAACATAAAAATAACTGTCATCTGTTTCATCATTGACCAAAATTCTAAATTATAGTATGATTTCACCGAAGACTTAAAACATCAAAAGATATACACAAACATCCTTATATTTCAGAGATAATACTGAAACGTTTATGGATAAAATAAGATTTCTGCTTTGAAATATCCAGGGATGGAGTGGAAGAGAGTGCAGTGTAAACATGAAACTTGCTAAACCAATTAATAATTGGTAAAGCAAATTCATGCACTGTCTCTATTTTTGTTTATATTTAATTTTTTATATCAAATAGTTCAGAGATGCACAGTTTTAATTTTAGCAATGCTGTCATCAAAAATAATTGTATTTTATGTAAAATACAATTATTTGCAGCAGCTCTAAAACTTACAATGGCTGGGCGTGGTGGCTCATGCCTATAATCCCAGCATTTTGGGAGACTGAGACAGAAGGACTGCTTGAGCCCAGGAATTCAATACCAGTCTAGGTAACATAGCTAGACCTCATCTCTACAAAAAATAAAATAAATGAGCCAGGTGTGGTGGCATGTGCCTGTAGTCTCAGCTGCTTGAGAGGCTGAGGCAGCAGGACCGCCTGAGTATAGGATGTCAAGGCTGTAGTGACTCTTGACCGTACCACTACACTGCATACTGGGTGGCAGAGTGAGACCTCGCCTCAAAAGAAAAAAAAATTATGAAAAATTTTAGTAACCACAAACTACCTTATGTCTTCAGCCTACCTGATAGATATTACTAATTACTTTACCAAATCAAAAAATTCTCTGGACAGCATCTAAACTCAATCACTAGCATTTATAAAAATATAGTCATTAAAAGCAACAGGTTATTTGTCCCTTCAGTATTTATCATGTTATAATAACTTAAAACTTTTGGCTTGTATGTTTTTTATTTCTATTTTTTTTTTTTTTTAGAGATAGGTTCTCATTCTATCGTCCAAGCTGGAGTGCAGTGGCATGGGTCATGGCTCAAGCAGTCCCTTCGCTTCAGCCTCCCAAGTAGTTGGGACTACAGGCATGTGCCACCACACCTGGCCAATCTATTGTTTTCTTAAATTTTTTTAGAGATGGAGTCTCCTTATGTAGCTCAGGCTGGTCTCAAACTCCTAGTCTTAAGCAATCCTCCTTTGTCAGCCTGCAGAGTAGCTGGAATTACAGGCATGAGCTACTGCATCCAGCTGGTTTATATGCTTTTTAAAAAAATTCTTAACTTTATTCAAACTACCCAAAAGCAGTGGAAGGCTGGGGCCTACTGCTTCTGTTAACCTGAGAAATCAACTCCAATGTCACAGAGTATCAGCATTAGGAAGGTCCTTAAAGGTCACGTAGTTCAACTCAGGGACTTCAACAGCTAGTTAGTGCAAGAGCCCCAAGTCAGTATCTAGTCCTCTCATCACCTATTCATTTACCATTAGCCAGTACTTGACTCATTGTACTGCAGAGATTAAAAACAATAACGACAATAAAACTGTTTCACATATCCCATGTATTCCTAAGGAGGCTGTAAAACCGAAGTATTACTAAATTTTTTCTGCTCCTTTTATAACACACAATAAGGCACCTACAAAATCAGAACATAAGATTAAATAGAGAAAAAAAAGTTCCCAAAATATTAAGTACTGCCTAAATAACTCGAGAATAATATCAAGAGAATTCATTGTAAAATATTTAGTTTATATTTCTCTATGTCTATTCCTCAATTTTAATAAATTCCAATCGTTTTTCTCTGTCTTTATTCTTTGTCTCATTGACACTATCGACAATCTCCTCCTCAAACTTCTATGTCATCTTCCAATTTCCCTAGACTGATCCTCTATTGTGTATTTTTGGACTGCCCTTCCTATGCCTCCACCAAATTCTCCAAACTCGGTCCTTAATCCTCTACCTGAATTCTTCCCAGACCTGTCTTTCTAAAACAACACCTTATATCTCATCCCAGTGGAATAACCTTTTAGGGTTCCATACTTTATATCATATCAACTGTAAATTCTTCTGCCCAGGTTTCAAAGCCCTCTAGATCTGATTTCTCCTATTTCCCTTTCTACCTTAATGTTGTTCTCCCTTGTCTGTAGTATCACATCTGCTTTCCTCCTCCCACACATCCTCTAGGTCAATCCATGGGCCGGGCACAATGGCTCAAGCCTGTAATCCCAGCACTTTGGGAGGCTGGGGTGAGAGGACTATCTGAGCCCAAGGGTTCGAGACCAGGCTGGGAAATTTGGCGAGACCTCATCTTTACAATAAATCAAAAAATTAACTGGACATTATGGTGCACACCTGTAGTTCCAGCTACTTGGAAGGCTGAGGCAGAAGGACCTCTTGAGCCCAGCAGGTCGAGGCTGTGATAGCCATGAGCATGCCACTACACTCCAGCCTGGGCAACAGAATGGGACTCCAACTCAAAAAAAGAAAAAAAAAAAAAAAAAGATCAGTCCATGAAGCTATTCCTAATCAGACCTCTATAGGAAATAAAGGACAGAAGAGCAAGTTAAGTAACACCATGGGAATGAAATCAGCAAAATCCAGGGTAAACCATCTGGTTTCTTCTGCAAATAAGTTGCATGGGTGGGAGCTGAGGGAGATGGTGAGTGCATCTGTAGAATAAAAGTCTTAGGAGATGTATTAACCTTTGACATGGGAACTTTATACAGCTCTTGATTATATTAACTGTAAGGTCGTTAATTACAGGCTGTGGCTCAAGCCTGTAATCCCAGTACTTTGGGAGGCCAAGGCAAGAGGATTGCCTGAGCCCACAGTTTGAGACCAGCCTGGGCAACTTGGCGAGACCTCATTTCTACAATAAATCAAAAAATTAACTGGGTGTTGTAGTACATGCCTGTAGTTCAGACTACTAGGAAGACTGAGGTGGGAGGATCCCCTGAGCCAACGGGATTGATGCTGGGGTAGCCGTGAGCATGCCACTGTAAATTTAAAATAAAACATTTGAGCCAGGCTCAGTGGCTCAGCCTGTAATCCCGCGCTTTGGGAGGCTGAGGTAGAGTGGATTGCCTGAACCTGTGGGTTCGAGACCCACCTGGGCAACTTGGCGAGACCTCATCTCTACAATAAATAAAAAATGAGCCGGGCGTGGTAGTGCGCGCCTGTAGTTCCAGCTACTCGGAAGGCTGAGGTGGAAGGATTGCCAGAGCCCAGCAGGTGGAGGCTGCAGTGGCCGGGAGCGGCCACTGCATTCTAGTCTGGGCGATAGAGTGAGACTCCAACTCTAAATAAATAAATAAATAAGAATAAAATAAAATATTTGACATTTATGAGACAGTTGGCAATTTCAACAGTCTTTTTTATATTAAGGAATAACTGCTAATTTCTTTTTAGATGTGATAATGGTATCATGATTGTATTCACATTTTTAAGAGATGGATACTGAAAACTTCACATGAAATGGAAAAAAATACCAAATTAATAAATGAAAACAACCTATAATTTCTGCCTCACAGTCTCATGCATCACCTGAATTTTATGTTACAGCAAACAATGTTAAGATCTAGCTTACAGTTGGGCTCAGTGGCTCAGCCTGTAATCTCAGCACTTTGGGAGGCCGAGGCAAGTGGATTGCCTGAGCCGACGTGTTCGAGACCAGCCCAGGAAACTTGGCAAGACCTTGTCTCTATAATAAGTGAAAAATTAGCTAGGCGTGGTAGCGCACACCTGTAGTTCCAGCTACTTGGAAGGCTGAGGTGGAAGGATTGCCAGAGCCCAGCAGGTCGAAGCTGTGGTGGCCGGGAGCGTACCACCGCACTCCAGTCTGGGTTACAGAGTGAGACTTCAACTCAAAAAAAAAAAAAAATCTATCTTACAATCTAACTCCAAAATTTAGATTATCATCAGATGCCAAGATGACTAGAATAATTAATACTACTTAATGATATGTAAAACATGACTTTTTTTTTAGACAGGGTCTTGCTCTGTCACCAAGTTGGAGTGCAGTGGTGTGACTACCACTGCAGCTAACTGCAGTCTTGACTTCTGGGTTCAAGTGATCCTCTTGCCTCAGCCTCTCAAATAGCTAGAACTACAGGCACATGCACCAAACTCAACTTATTTTTTAAATTTTTGTAAAGATGGAATCTTGGTATGTTGCTCAAGCTGGTTTCAAACTCCTGGCCTCCAACAATCCTTCTGCCTCAGCCTCCCAAAGTGCTATGATTGCAGGCCTAAACCACTATGCCTGGCCCCAAAAGACCTTTTAAAAAGAAAACTCTGAAATAGATTGACAAATTTCAAACACTTTCTCGTTTTGTGCTATCTCAAACCTGTTCCTGTCCTTCTCTGTTACCTAGGTTCTTTGGAAATTCTATTTGACTCCTCCATATTCCTTATCCATTCACCCAAGTCAGCTGCCCACCTACATAGATTTCCTTACAGCAACTCTCCCAGTCACACCTTTTTCTCCTCTACACATCTTTTCAGGTCTTAAGTATCTCTCATGTGGGCACTCACCCCTGCCCTCTCCAAGTAATCTTATGGCCTAGTCTTTTAAAAGCACAGCTTTTATTTTTCACTCCCTTGTTCAAACTTCTATAGTTGCCAACTGTAGCACAAAGCCTAAGCCTCCAGACTGAAGACAATATCTCAAGGCCCCTCATGACATATCTAGTTCCAGCTTACCTTTACAATAATATTTTCCACTACTTCCTTTCATTCAAGCTAATTAAGTTATTTTATATCTTTAGCCTAGACCTCTCTTCTAAGCTTCAATCTCTAATAGTGACCTACCAGAAATCTCTCTGATGTCTCAAAAACACTGTAAATTCAACTCTACTAAAACTGAACTCATTGCCATTCCTTCAAAATCTAGCCCAAGCAGCTGGGCACAGTGGTGCACACATGTAATCCTAGCACTTCGGGAGGATTGCTTGAGCCCAGGAGTTTGAGACCAGCCTAGGTAACATAGCCAGACCTCATCTCTACAAAACAAAAAAAGAAAAGTAACTAGGTATGGTGGAACAGGCCTGTAGTTCCAATTACTTGGGAGGTTGAGGCAGAAGGATCACCTAAACCCATGAGGCTAAGCCTGCGGTAAGCTCTGTTAGTGCCACTGTACTCCAGCTTGAATGACCGAGTATAACTCTGTCTCAAAAACAAACAAAAAACTAGCCTAAGTGATCTCTATTATGCAAGCCAGATACCTAGGAGTCATCTTTAGCACCTCCCTTTTCCTCATCCCTATTTCAAATCTACAGCTAAGACCTGTATTTTTTACTTCCTATATTCCTATATCTATCAATTTCTATCTCCTCCACTACCTACTTCCTAATTGATCATATATATATATATATATGATCAACCTACTGAACTCAGGTAATCCTTCCACCTCAGACTTCCAAGCAGCTGGAACCATAGGCATGTGCCACCATGCCCAGCTGATTTTTTTATTTACTTTAGAGATGAGACCTCTTCGTGTTGCTTAGGCTGGTCTTGAATCCCTGAGCTCAGGTAATCCTCTCACTTCCGCCTCCCAAAGTGCTAGGATTACAGGCATGAGCCACTGTGCCTAGCTGATCTACCATATTTCTAAGGGCTGGATTCTTGAAATGCAAAATAATTATATCTCCAATCTCCTACCCCTAGATCCCTCTTCCTTACAATTCAAAATGGCTGCGCTATAGTTTGGTCCCAGTATACCTTCCATCTTATCTCAAAACAGCATCACCTTTGCTCTGCACTCCAGCCACACTAACATATTTTCTGTCCTTCAAGCTCATCAGGTTCCCTCCTGGAAGGTAATTCTCTCTCCTCCTGGTCTATTTATCCTTATCCTTCATGTCTCAGTTCATGCATCATTTCCTCTGAGAAAGCCTTCCCTGACCTCCCTACTTAGGTCAAATCCTCCATTATTGACACTCAGAGCACCACATATTTCTCCCTCATAGTACTTACCAAATACAGTTTTACACCCTGTGATTATTTGATTAATATCCATTTCCCACACTAGATTGTAAGCTCCATAAAGGAAGGCATCCATAAGAGTTTGTGTGTTTTATTCGCCATTGCATCTGCAAAGCTGAAAAATAGTCCCTGGCACTCATATTTTTTTGAAAATAATATGTTGTACAAACCCTTTGTTTTTCACATGTCCTGCTTCTGTTTGGAATACTTCCACTTCCTAAAGTATTCAAATCCTCCTCATTTTAAAAGTTCGGCTCAAGTACAACTTCAACCTCAAACCTTCCCCAATTCTCCACTCAACTTGTAAATTTCCCCTTTCACTGAACTTCTAGTATCCTTTCTAATATCTCTAACAGTAAGGAATAATTTCTGCAATGTATTACAGTACTAGACTGACTGACTCTTTTTAAATTAATCTTTTATCCTCAAGATATTCAAGAAAAGTTCTGCAACATCTGAATGAACATGTGATTAGTACAAATCTACAATTCACACAGTGCACACAGTAAAAAGGCAAAGTGTAGAAACTTCAGAGTCCTAAAATATCTCTCAAAGAATACAGAAGAAATAGTAACACAGGTTGCTGCCATGGAAGGAAAGTGGATAATGGGGGACAAGAGAGAAAGAAAGACTTTTTTGCTTAATATCATTTTGCTTCTATTGAAGCTTGACTCATATGGATACATTACCTATTACATATTATTTATACAAATCTTGAACCATGCAAACATGTCTGTTACAAATCAATTTTTTAAAAGTCTTAGTTTAAAACAAGTAGAAACAATAAACCTTATAGAAAAATTAAACTTATGAAACCTACACATTTACCATGCAAAGTAGGAGAAAATTGCAATCTCCTGCACTCACTTATACAAATTACAACTAGTATCACTGAGCATCTGCCATGAGCAAATAGTTCTAGTTAATTAATGTTACTTCACTTAATAGAAAAGCATCTTGATAGTTGACATATTTAACAGCAATGTTCCTTATTTTATTAAGCTAAAACCCGTTTAATTATAGAAGAATCAATTTTATATCGACTTTACATAAAAATTGTCTTTTACTTCTTACTCTGACCCCTGTTGGCAATCTAGCATTGAAAAGGGATGCTCTCAGTTCTATCACAACTTGAAATTTTAAATTTGTACATGAAAGCGGCACAAAAATCTAGGAGAAAAGGAGAAGCAGCAAAACTGGAATAAGCACATTAGATGACAAATGTAAGAGAAGAGACACACATCAAAGCAGAACTATGAAAAAGTCAGCAAGTAAGTAGTCAATAACAGGACAAGGCAGTAGTACGTCGGTTAAGCCTGAGTCTTGAAAGTCAGCATGATTCTTGAAATGCACTTGAAATACGACCACACTCACTTGTAAGCCTGAAATGGAAGGAACTAAAGAGAACTTGCGCAAAAATAAATTTAAACTGCTTATACATCAGAGCTTGTAAAGGTGAGGCGAATGTGGGTTGAACAAATCTTAGAAACGAAGCCCAAGTTAAGAGAGCTGAGATCATCTAATATAATAAAGTCTATTTGGAAGCCAACGAGAAAAACAGGATGAGAGCATTAAAAGATGTGGTGGTCTGTTTTTAAGTGGAAAGACTGTCAGAAGTAGAATGAGTGACAGAAACCACCTAGTCTTTTAAAAAGTGGATCACGGAAGTGGGGTGGGTTAAGGAGCAGAACTTTAACCCAAAGAAAAGAGAATCTTTCTGCCGAGGAGAGGTGAGGAGGGTGTTGACTGGAAAGGCGGGATGGCGAAGCGAGACGTCTGACTCAGAAGCTGAGATGAGAAGCACTGAGAACGGCGCCGCGGAGCGGGACGGGGGGCAGCGGTGTGGCACTGGGGCTCCCTCACCTTGGCCTTGTAGCTGGGCAGGTTGCAGAGGATGTCCGTGCGCAGAGCCTCTTCTGCCAGGCTGCGGGCGCACAGGCTCCGCCACACCTCGCTGTTCTCATCGCCGTGCAGGCAGCGGTACCAGTGCTTGCACACCAGGGCGCAGCTCCGCAGCTCGGACAGCTCCAGGTAGGAGAACACCAACTCCAGCACCCGGCTGGGCAGCCGGCCCCCGGCCCCCG